ATAGAAGTCTTGTTATTTTTCACCTGTCACGTAAGGCTAAGTTATTATTCCCGCGATGAGAATATCTTATCGGCTATCGTAACGTACCTAATTACCGAGTTACCGTCAGAGAAATCTGTCAGTCTGTTATCCCGCGCCCTTTTAGGCGAAAATAAATATCTTGTCGATTACATCGGGCAACCAATAGTAAAGTATTCCGCGTCTTTTGACGTATATGAAATTTTAATTGGTTGGTTTGAGTTCATTGCTTGAGAAAAGTTGTGTTGAGTTACCGAATATGTACCGAAGGTTTCCCAGGAGAGCCTGTCTCTAAGGAGGGGGGAGTTTGTAACGTTACATTTTATGTAGCGTTACAGTAGTAGTGTACTTGAGTAATATTGTGAGTTTTTGTTGTGTGAGTACGGTAATGTCGTAATATTGAGGACTATCGTAAGTGCGTGTGTGTAAGTTAATTGTCTCGAGGATGTCGAGCTGCCCTGTGGAAAAGTGACCGATGTAACGTGTCTCCCGGTCAGTTACCGATGACTGAACTCAGGTTCAGCCTCTTGGAGTGAGGTGATTATCGCAGAGGAGCGACTGAAATATCGTCGCCCCGAAGTACGGGAGTTTGGCAGGCTCATGCGGTAGCTTGCGGTTGACAGGCCTCGATTGCTGGATGCTCGAGAGTAGTCGCGAGTGCTGTCAAGGCTCCCAGGGGAGCGGAATCACTGGTAGATCTGGGATACTAGTTGTGTGAGTGGAGAATGAGTGTGGAGTTTGTATGTCTTGGAGTAGCGTGAAAGTGAGTTGAGCGCATGTAGCAGGTGGCGTGAATGTAGTGGGGGTACGGTGATAGGCAGTCTGGCTGGAGTAGTAAATGAGTAAGGATTGTTTTGTGTGGAAGTCTGGAGTTATAAGGGAGTCTTGTGGAGGTCCTCGTAGAGGACAGACGTACCGTCGCTGCTAGGCAGCGTTAGATGAGTACCGTGAAAAGAAGTCAGTTACGAGCTCTCGTAGAGTAAGCATCGCGTTGGAGAGTTAAGTTAGTCTCTCGTATTGGAGCTGGCATGCCTCACGCTTGCTATTACCGTAGATGAATTGCCCGAGCCATTGTCTTTGTTTCGTGTTCGTTTGGGACTGCTTCCGCGATATTTATAATATTAATTTATTTTATTTTACCGATTAATAAGGTTGAGTGTTAGTTTGAGAGTACCGATTAGTGTCCTAAATATCGATTAGTCCCGTTTTATAAGGAAATTACTTCCTCTGAGAGACCGAATCACGACCCTCTCACCATAACCAGCATAACTAAGCGACACCGAGGTATTCCGTTACTGTCGAAGCCGTCCTTGGTCTTCTGGGGAACATAAAAATTAAGTTATCGTATCTTGGTTGCCGATACCGGTGAAACAAAAGTCGGCTGGCGCCTGTCGGGGTTCCTGGAGGATCGAGAGATGGCTGAAATGGACGAAGTGTAACGTAGTGAATCATAGAGTGCCGTAAAAATCTACCATGTAAGAAAAATCTACGTTACAAATTATGGAACGGGTTAGGTGAGATAGATAGTGTTAATAGTATTAAGTATAGGGTAGTCCGGTGGACTTAAAATCAAGTTACAAGTGTGTGTAAAGTTTTGTTTTTGGCAGTCCGGTGGATTTATAGTTTTAAGATAGTTTTAGTCAGGTGTGGGAGACCGTTGGTTATATAAAGCCCAACTAGTTTTAGTTAGGTTGTGGGAGACCGTCAGTTAGAACATCCCAGCTACTCATCGCATTGTCGTTTGAAAAGGTATCGTTGTAAATATTGTTGTCTCGCAGTTAATTTCTCCGTGTCGTTAGATAATAAGTGATTATAGTGTGAGTGAGTGAGTGTTCATTTTGTTATTGTTAATAAAGATCGATCATTGTTAATTAATTACTTATTATTTCAACAGCACCTTCCTCCACTCTCTCTAACCCTAGAAGATAAGCTCTCTGCTCTGGACCGGTTCCAGAAACCGTGATAATAACCCTGGTGGCGCCCTAATTATTTAATTTGTTTTTTACTTCATTTTATAGTTTATTGTGTTTTATCAATTAATTAAGGGACCAATTGAGCAGCTAACAAAACTGTTACAATCTACTACTTAACAGTTTTCTACAATTTTCGCTATTTTTAGTGTTCTTACGTAATTTATTCAAAGTTCAAAGGTGTTTAACCTAAACCATTGCAGGTTTTAAATATAGCGCATCGAAACACATAACAAAAATACTCAATTTAGCTCAAAAAAATTGTTTCGCTTATGTAAATCTTTTTCTGCGACTTTTTTTCCATTTTCAGCGGTTTTTTGCAATATACTCTAGTTTTCTTCAATTTTTACGTCTGATACTTTCATACATGGTGTGATATGTCTTTATAAAGTCACATTAAGCTTGATATGTTCATAAATGTCCTGATCTGGTTAATTACCATATCAAGCCATATATGACCTCACAAGGAAGGTTCATATTAGTGCATATATGGCCACATCAAATTTTCTTATCAGTATTGATTTTAATTCCAATACTTTTTTTCTGCACTGATTTTCAAATGATGATTAAATAGCCGAACAAAAAAATAATTGCATTAAAGGTTCACAGTCAAAAAATGTGCAGAATTTCTCAAAAATAAAAAGACTCCAGAAATCTGCCGCTACTTAGTAGTTGGCGAAAATTCGAAATTAATATTTAAGAAACTTAAGGTCAACGATATTTTGACATCTTCCATGTGTTAAAATGAAATGTTTATGGTATAATTAAGCTGTTAAAAAAATTCATATCGCTATCACAAGGTCAATCACCGATAAAAATTCAGAAATATTTCTAAAAAATAATACTTCTGAAGATTCAAATACAATCATTACCGTTCAATACATCACTTCGATATAATATAACCATGATTTTAGAAATATTCGAGCTTAAAAAATAAAACATTTTCATTACGTTCAATACTAGTTAATAACATATAATAATAATAATAATCATACGTATTGTTTGATTTACACAAAATAGCGGATACAAAACCTGCGAAGCCAGCTATTAAATCGTCAACTCTACCTCGAATGTCTTCTCAAGGTAAAAATATTGATTATTATTCTTATTAGTGCATGTAATAGTAAGCCTAACCTATACCTACCAAACATGAAGTGGGGACTCACTAACCCCAGCACGGTCAGAAGATAAAAAAAATTAGAAAAACGGTTGACCCTAAAGGCCATCCCTGCAACTTCTCACTAATTTCATACTGAAGCGCTCATAATTGCACGTACTACGTTGTTGAGTTCTTCGAGCTCAGAAATAAAATTTTTTTGTCATTTTGAGCTCTCCGAGCTCAAAAATCCGGTAACAGTTTTATAAAACACTATTTCTTAAATTTTTAAACCGCAATAACTTTTGAATGAATGAACCGATTTTCACGCAGTTGGTGGCATTCGACGCAGTTTTTCAGGCCTCATAAAAAATCTTAAAGTTTTATTCGATCGAAGTAGGAATTTCGATGTAATTCCGAAAAAACATTTTTTTCGGTTTTTTTTCGACAACGATAACTCACGAACGAATCAACTGATTTCGACCGGGCTAGCGGCAATCGACACGGTTTTTTAATGTTAAGAGTTGATTAGTTTTTAGAATTGATCGGTGAAGCCATTTGAAAGTTATTCCAAAAAAACCACATTTAAAAAATTTTTTTTTGTAGTTTTTTGAGATTTTTTAAAATCTACCCGTTCGAATCGGTCCAAATTGTATTCAAAATCTAAGTTTGGTCAAGCCCTTTCGAATGGTATCAACCGTGATGAAATCGGTCGAGCCATTCAAGTTATGAGAGGTTTACATACACACACACACACACATACACACAGACATACTGACATCATAGCGGAAACATTCGGGGAAGCTTCCTAGGATCTCAAAACGTCAACATCCGTTGAAAACTCGATTTTTAAAAAATGGGGTGAAACCAATAACTTCTCAACTTTTGAACATTTTCAATTTTCTTAGCGGGAAGTTAAAAATTTTCACTACTTTCTGAGCAGATTTAAGCATAGGATGCATTATTATACAGGAAAATATTTTTCAAAAAATTTCTTGAAAATAATAATTTGAAATTATCGTTTGGTTAGAATCATAAGTTTTGACGTCTAGTGTTACAATAGAAATTTAAAAAAAATACACGCAAAATTTATAAATTTTTTAACAGGATCTTCTTTTTTTGTACTCGTATTGGTGTTGATAATTGAATAATTTCTTAGATAAAAGTGAAACTAGTAGAATATTTTGAAATTTTTCAATTTTAATTAGTCTAAAAATTGTCACCCTTTTTATTATCAAAGAATGACAGTCATACTTTTCAAATTAGCTATTCAATATGTTAATTATTGTAACAAAAATTACGCTCCAGCTGACGGTGGAGAGGCTAGTGGACACGTAATTTTGTCCAGGTCGCCCAATAAAAAAACTAAATAAACAAAAAAATAACTTGGGAGAGAACTCTTTACCTCTCAAGCAACCCGCAGCTTTTCCTCAGGCTGGGTTCGTGCATGATTTTGTACGCCAATTGTTCTTTTCACCAGGGAAACAACAAACCCTTTGATTTTCAGGGCCGATCTGCAGGTATTTCAGGGGAAGATAAATAATATACTAATATTAGGAAAGCAAGGAGGAAGTAATTTACATAAATTAAAATATTAATAATCAGCAAATATTAATAAAAAAAAAACTATTTATTCAAAAAACCAGAAATTACTTAAACTAAGTCCAGAGCCGAATTCCTTAGCCGGGTGAACTATATAACAACAATAATAATAATTTTGCCGCGTACAATTATTAATTATTAATCTCAATCCTGAGTAGACCATTTATTTACGACCACGGTGATTATAAACTAAAATCTACGCTTAAATAATATTAAACAGAGATAGACCCGAAATCCCCAGTCGGGTTATCTCGACAAAAGATAATAAAAATTAAATACTGGCTGACTCTAATAACGCTTTTTAATAATAAATTATGCGCCACGAGACAGTACGGTGTGCGGATAATAAAATGGCTCAACCTGTGAGTACTCACCAAAAAGAGGGAACTCGAACGAAGGTGCTAGATCCACACTCCTTACACTTTGCGGGTTACCGCGTGTCTCCCGATTTTTATTTTATGGAAAACTACGAGTCCTCCTGCCCGATCACGAGGGCCTCTCAAGTCGTTTACTGAAATTATTGATCCCTGTGCTCGCAATCGATACTTCAGGGAATTACCCGTGCGAGCAAGGACTACGACTGATTACCAATAATCAATATACAACTAAATAATAGAATTATAAATATTCCGTTACAACTTCTAAAATAAATGTCAAAATTAATACTTAAATACTAACAATAATAATATATAAATTGTTAAATATAAATAATGACAAATGATATACAATATATAAATCAGTAAAATTAATACAAAAATAGTAAAATTATGAGACACACTGAGTGTGGATCTGTTGCCAACTCTAGGCGCAGAGAGGGACGCACACAGGAATAAAGTTCGTGTGACATTATATTCAAGAAATGATTTTCAATTCTCTAAAAAAATTCATGTCTAGATCAATTCTATATTGATGAAATCAAGTAGGGCGATTTCGGGGTATAACAATTTATTCGATAATAACGGTGTTTATCAATAATAATATTATAAAGTTGATACATAAATACACAAAGGTAATGTAGACCTCTTGGGTGTAAGGGCTAATGCTTCACTGACTCATTCTTACTCGCAAAAAGATTATAATGACCCTTAGGCATTTATATGACACACTGTAACGTCCACGTTTTCTAATATAATATAACTAATTAAATTCCCGACTCGAAATTTGCTCGCCGGAGTCCAGGGTCATAAACGGGGATCACAAAATATAAACAAAACACTTTATTTTAAATAAATCAAAGAAAAAGTAAAACCTCTTTATTGACCTGATCATGTTAATAAACAATATAAGCAAGATAAACAAATTAAACAGTATAAACAATACATTAGAACACTCTTTTCTCACATATTCGGGGTTCAAAATCATTAACGCGGTTCAAAATCCCGAAACAATACAAACAATATAAGCAAGATACACTAATACAATAGAAACTTTCTATCCGAAACATACACGACGATATTCACGGTTCAAACTCAAAAACGCGGTCTACAAAATACAAACTACTTTCCCAATAACACCCCCCCCCCCCCCAGGGTGACTAGCCGTCATCCCTGTGGGGTCCTAAACTCTAGCCTGAGAACAAGTGGAGAGTATCCTCCTTGCTCCCACCTACACGACTTATGATCACCTACAGTACCTCAGCTGAAGGCTTCGGCACGGGGAGTCGCACTTTCATCCTATCGGTCCTTGATACTTACCTGGGTCTTGGTTAGACTCCAGGTAGAGTATCATCCTCTAGAATTACTTGGTGAAGAGTATTCAGCCGAGTAATTCTCCCGAGAAAGAATTGCTTGTCAAAATTATTTTCAAAACAGAACTTAATATATTTTTAATTATCACTACAAACGAAACATCTTCGCCATTTATCAAGGCTCGCGCAAGCTTAACAATCGTCGAAAATTTCTAAGTTTTTATTCTCAAAGACAATTTTTAACAAATTCATTTACTATTTTAATCGTAATTTCTTTCATTCTCTATCCATTCGTTTCATCAAATTCACAATTCTTTATTATTTTAATCGTAATTTCTTTAATTATATATTCATTCGTCGATTTCCCATACTAAAACTTGTCTGGGACTTATAAAATTTTCGCTTAACTAAATTATTTCTCACAAAATAATAATTGTCATGTCTTTAATTATATATCCATTCGTTGCTTTCCCATACTAAATCGGCTTGGGACTTAGACTAATTTCCCCAGTCTTTTAATTTCCTTTACAATTAATTTCTTTTACTATTAATTTCTTTTACTCAAATTATTTTCTAATTCAATCAAACCTTCGGTAACTATAATATAATATTATTGACTAAATAAATACAATAATTAAATAATAGTCGCCACACTAATAACAATAATTGTTTCTATTAATTTTTTAAGTAATTAATAACAATAAACTGAAATACTCAAATTCCAAAAAGTACAATCTTAGCCATAACATGATCGACGAGCTTATGTGTTTCATATCCTCAACACTTCCCCTCGAAAACATGAGTAAGCACACCATATCAACATACACTCGTCATATCGAGATAACATATGCATTCGCGATGTTTTCTACCATTCAACCCTTTCGTGAAAACATCTGCTGGCATTTTCTCTGTACATAGGTATTTTAAATGAACACCTCACGAAAATTAAGGAAGCAAGAAAAAAATCCAAATTTTTGGGGAATTTTCAACAGGCTGTAACTTGTAAAAAAATGGTCGTATAGCAAATGAAAAAGAAGCGAATTGTAGCTCTTGAAGTGTCTAGTTTTTTTGATCTGAGTTTGAAAATTTTTTTTTGAAATTCTTTTTCGAGTAATCTTAAAAAAACCACTGAAACAAAAATTTTCGAAATTTAAAGTTCAAAAAAATTGAAAATTTTATTCTATAGCTGCTATAAGATTAAAATTCGGCGAAATTATTACTTAAATGTTTTAGAATCATATCATCTCACAGATTTTCCTCTTCCGCACTTTCCTAGACGATCCTCGACTTGTCGATGTGTGCCCTTCTGCCACCAGAGTCACTAACTGAGCGACTTGTGTTACGGATAATTGCTGCCTAGGCATTATAGAAACATTCATGATTAGAGAAATTAAAGTGCGGAAGAGAAGAATCGGTGAGAAATAAGTCGTTACATTTTTCTAATTCTTAGCCAATTGGAAAAAAATTGATTAAAAAAAATTAGGAAAACGGATGACCCTGAAGGCCTTTCCCGCTACTTCCCGCCAATTCTATACCTATATGCTTGAAATTGCACTTATGACATTTTTGAGCTCTTCGATCTCATAAATACAATTTGTGTGTTATTTTGAGCTCTCCGAGCTCAAAAAATAGCTTTTGTATGCTCTTGAGCTCTTCGAGCTCAAAAGTCTGATAGCAGTTTGATAAAACACTATTTTTCAAATTTTCAAACCGTATTAACTTGTATGTGACGTTTGACGTGAGTACATAAACACATCAAATTATTTGCTCTATATTTTGAATGTTTTCTGCTGTACTTTGCCTCCGGGCATTTTTCTGTTTCAGATACATTTCAAGCTAAAATTCCAATCTATACACTGAATAATAAATTATATTTATTGGTGTCTTGGAGATTGCTAAATAATTAAACTAAAATCATAACACATTGTGGAGGTTAGATTCAGTTGTATTTTGTGTAGCTGACTTACCATTATATTGTTGTCAATAGTGCCTATCTCTTTCTTAGCTTAAAATTATCTCTGACATTACATACTCCGCTGGTCTCATAATGCAATATAAAAATTAAAATCTACACACTGAATGATAAATTGCAACTATTTGTGTCTTGTGCATTACTAAACAATTAAATTATTCTTAAGCAAAAATAGTTTACGACAATTGAATTACCAAATTAAATAATTAATTAAAAATGAGAAGTAATTCAGTAATTTGAGCCGGGTATGAACCCCAAGGCTCACAAAAGACAAGATTCGAATACCTTAATCACTGAAGAACTCTGGCCTGGACTTAGCTTCCTTCTTCTTGCTTCAGTTGGTGTGGTCAATGGTTCCAGCACTTAACTACTTCTGATCGCTCCACGCTGAGCGATCAGCCAAGTAACCTCTGCTTAACCCCTCCCTTAACGCAATTCGGTTCTAGTCGGGTTCCGAAGATCGAGACGCCAGTGCTGCGTCGAATTCTTATCACGTGAGATCGATTTTATCGATCAAGGGCAAAGTGCCCTGTTACAAATACAAATAACAAATCCCTATTATCTAAATGACTCTTAAATTTATCGAGGATTAAATCCATTTTGTGTTCGAGTAACTTATCCATTAAATTTAATCTTTATAAATTCCTGGTTGAGTAAACTTAAATTTTGTACATTATTTAATCCAATCTAAATTATTTTATTCCCAGCTATTTTATTTAATCCAATATCGGCGGTAATTTTACTAGATTTATTTTTCGACGCAAAAGTTAAATTTAGACATGAGATTATCCTATTGTAATTTATTATGTGTTTCTTAAAACTTGATATTTTATTTTACTTGAGTTTATTTTATTTCAATGACTAAAAGACTTTAGTTACGACCTTGTGTGTCCTCTACTTAGCGTTTCTCGCACAGGACAAGATGGCTGACGCTCTCGCTCGGTCTAGCGTCTTTGTCGCACAACTCAAGTAATTTTTCTTTTTGACGAAATTTTTGCAAATTTTTATATTCTCTATTTTCTTGACTAAATAATTTAGATTAACCATTATATTGTTTTTAATAGCTATTTCCTGAATCTAGATTTATTTAATTTACGCCAAATATTAAATAATGCGCCGAATAATTTATTAAAATAGATTTTACTGTCGAATCAATGCTTGTCTTAAATAATCTTAATTTAATGGTTTACTCAATTTCATTTCTACTGGCTTAAGCCAAATTATTATCCGAAGCTTCTCAATTAATTGAATTTTACACATGGCGTAAAAATCTGGAATTAATAACCCGAACTAATGCCTAGTATTATCAACCCAGACATGCCTACGTATAAAATTCGTAATGACAAAGACAAGTAAATTTTCCTAAACAAATTAATTAATAACCCGAAACCTGTCCTAGTATTATTAACTACTTGTTTTATAATTTGTCCAATGTTAATATTAAATCCGATACTAAATCTGATAACAAATAAATAAACTATTTATGAATGATACTTAAATATAAGCTAACTAAATATTAAGCGATTGTGACTGAGCACGAAATGGCGGTGACCTTCAGCCGACGTGTTGCCTGGCTGATGCCGCAGACCCGAGGAATAATTAAGACTCGTTATTTGTACCTGGAGTATTCTTATAATTTTATCTGCACTCCAACAGTAAGCTGCAACTCCTCGTCTTCGGGTACTGGTGTGAATTATCCTCGGTCAGGTATTCTCGATTTGGCGGCAAACTCTCGTCACCGTCACTCGCCCTCTGGTTATTTATTACGCCTTAGCTGGATGTTGTAGAAAATCTGCGTGTCGTCCAGTCAATCCACTCAGTCACAATGAGTCTTACCAAATTTCGTTCAACCTTTCTTGCTTCCTCCGCTCTCCCCACTACCACTACGCCGGCTTCTCCCCCTCGGGACCTTTCTCACTAGCTCTAAACGAGCTATAGATCACAGCGCACTGTGAGCAGTCGATAAATGACTGGATACCGAAATAAGGGAATTACCGAGTAACGATCACTCCGTTACAAAAGTTATTTTAAATTAAAAGACAATTTTAAAATGGTACATAAATAAATTATTTTTATTTGACTCTAAAATGAATACCTGTACAAGCTAAAGCTGAAATATCTCGGTAAACTTCGGTAATACAATGATCGATTTATTTTATAGTTTTTATTTGAGAATAAATTATAATTAAAAATTTTTGTCGCAAACGTCTATATAGATGCAAATGACCAAATTCATGACGGTTTTTAATGTGACCGTAAATTTTGCATCCAGTTTCAAAAAATGCTTCATTAAAAAATTCTGTCAAAATCGTCTATATAGATGCAAATGATAAAATTTGTGACCGTTTGAAACGTGACGGTCATTCCAGCATTACAGAATTTTTTAAAATTATGTGACGGTCACAGGACGGTCTTATGACCGTGTCCTGACCAAAAATAAAAATGACGGTCATTCCGCATCTCTAGTGATACTTACTACTTCTCAAATTGACATCTATTGACTACAGACTTACTTGTGGTATGCCATTGGCTTCTGACTTCTGTGCTAAGTACAACAAACTTGTAAAGTCTGCTGTAACTTGTAATCAATATTTCCATTCCAGTTGCGCGAGAATTCCTCAGAAGCAAACCATCGGCACTTTGTTGTACGAAAGAGCAAGGTTATCTTTTGAGAAGCTTAGACTCTACTACCACATGAGCAAAAAGTCAACTTAGCTCATTAAGATCAATTAAATCGAGTACATCGTCGATTTCAAGTTTTAAATCAGTCGATTCAGCTTCTCCAATCTCAACGTCCTCAACTAGAGCATCAAAGTCGCTCAAATCTCCGGTAACACCTATTACTCCGTCGACTCCTGGTAACGACTCTGTTTTTCTATCACCTACCACTTCATCAACAATGTCACTCTTACCTGAAGGTTGGTCCGAAAAATTTCTGGATGATAAAATGACAGCGTTAATGGAAAAATTTCTGACTTCTGAGCTGTCAACAAATAGGAAACTTGAAGAATTAAACCAACGAATGACAGAGGTAAAAAATAAATGATCGACCACCTCTGAAAAACTTACTGAAATTATAATGAATTTACAAGTAAATGCTGATTCAATTTCTAAGCTTGATGAAGAGCTTACAGAGATGAAAACTAAGATGGTAACTAATAAGCAATCGATTGAAGAAAAACTGTCAAACCTTGAAAATTCGATTTCAGCAAATAGGGCTACAGCAACTACAATGCTACCAGCTACTCGAAGTGCGGCTGAGCTAATCATTTCAGGAATCCCTGATCCAATCATCGATAAATTATCACATGTGGATATTTCAATACTCTCTCATCTGAACTTGCCTCACTCAACCAATGACATATTGAGCAGTCGCAAACTTGAAAACAAGACCAAATCTAATACTCATAAGACTGGTAATGAAGACTCGCCTAACTTGCATTTGTTCCTAGTCTGCTTGAAATCGTCTGAGATTAGAGACTTCATACTTTAGACTAAACGTAAAATTAAGCTACTTCCTGTAAAAGCCGTTTTTCCTGGTTCTATTAATAACAACTATAGAGGAAATATTTATCTCAACGAATTCTTACCACCGGAAACTTACAAATTACTGCTTATCACCAAGGAAAAGTCCCAGACCATGAAGTTCAAGTTATACGAAGAGGTCGTATTTTAAAACATGCAGATATAGGAAATTATATTAGAGGAGGCGGAGAAGCTTGTTTGATCCACAATTCTCTCAGAGTTAAAGTTTTACACATTTCAGCATCCAATCATTTAAATCAACCGGAGTTCCTGATTGTCGATGTCACCTTAAGAAACAGCTGTCATCTTCTGTTATCTTGTATTTACAGAAGACTAAAAGGAATGCTACTTACCGAATTTTTTAATGTTCATTCGAAACTTGCGCCTAACTACAAAAATATTATCATAGCAGGGGACTTGAATTGCAACTTACTTGAAAACTCTTATACCGCAAACCACTTGAAAGACTTCATCATTGAGTTCTCCTTACATTGCATATCGTACAATGCTACCTTTCATAAAAATGATTGTGATTCGTGGCTGGATGTTATCTTGATTGATATTGCTACTAAGTTTGTTTCTTTTGCAAAATCTGATTCTTCTTTCACCGATGGTCACGATTACTTATTGTGTCAATACAAAGTGGATCAACTGCAGCAAATAAGTAAGAAAGTCACATTTAGAAATTTTAAAAACTGACCAGCAAGTTTTAGCAACCTCCTTGTTCAATTCCTTGACACTGGACAACTCAATAGTGGAAAACTTAGATCCAAATGATCTTACTATTTTTAAATCGAATGTGCTTTCTACTCTAGACTTACATGCTCCAGTACTCACTAAAAGCATTACTCAGCTCAGTAGTCTCTAGTTTACCAAGGAGTTGAGAATTAAATGCAAGGATGAACTTTACAAAAGAGCCAAAAGACATCGTGATGCAACACTGTTTGCACTTTACAAGCTCAGAAGAAAACATCTGACAAGCTGAAATAGCGTTTGCTCGAGAGTCTTACTTGAAGTCTGCTTTATCTAGTTTACCATATGGATCAACTGTTTGGAGTAAGCTCAGAAATCTAGGACTTACCAAGTCAAATTCTTCGTCCCCTCTGAACTTCTTCGATGCAAGAGAACTCAATGAATACTATGCAAATATAGTCAGGAAGCATGCAACCACCAGCAAGGAATTTCTGAACAGTCTTCCGACCTGTTATCAGCGCCAAGTAGAAAGTTCATTCCATTGGCAAAAAATTGACGTCGATGTAACAAAAGTTCTTCAATCAACTCTCTCCAAGTCTAAAGGTAAAAGTCCGGATGGACTTGATCTGCGGTGGCTAAGAGATTACATCCGTCAAATAAATTTTTCTTTACTGCCTTGCTCAACAGATCTCTTGACAACTGCGTTTTCCCTGAGATTTGGAAAGCTATCTATGTCTTACCGCTGAACAAGATTTCTCCCCCTAAATCACCTTCGGATACTAGACCGATTGCTAATCTGTCTCATTTAGCAAAAGTTTTTGAGAGAATAATCGCTAATTAGATAGAAAGCTACCTTGAAGATAATAACCTGCTAAGTCAGTTTCAATCAGGATTTCGTAAGCACCGGAGCACACAAACAGCATTGCTAAGGCTTACAGAAGATATTAGAGGAGCAATGGACAAGAACCAATTAACTATACTAGTTCGACCTGAGCAAATAGAGTCTTTGATTATTCTAGTATTTGATTATTCTTTCTCGCTTCACAGCATTATTTATATTTGTTAAGTATATATATAAAGTATTAACGACATCTTTAACAAAACTAAACATACAATATAATTTTAAATCGTA